GTAGGGTTAATGCAGCTTTTTAGCCGGACCTTTTAGCACTGACATGATGAATTGGAGTTTTAAAGTACAGCATAGTGATAACATTAGGAGTTTATTGTGGGGAGTCAGGTTGGCACGGTGATACTGTACTTGACTGGCCTTCCACCTCGGTGACCCAGAATCAAATCTTGCCCAAGCCGATTCCCTGGATTTCTGTTAAATATTTACATGGGTTTTTCTTCCCATCTCAAAAAATGTAACACTATCCCCATAATATCTTCATACTGGCCACAGTTGATGATATTGGCAAACTGAGAATCAAATCATCCCATCAATATTTCTTAAACATGGCTGCCATTAATAGTTGTTATATATTCCTATTCATCCAATGGGCATTCTGAGCTTATTACAGGATGATTACAAGAGGCAATGAAGAGGAATATAAAATCTTCTGTTTTCAGAGGTGGGCCTCAGTGGGATTCGAACTTGGGCCGCTGAGGTGCAAGATGAGGAAAGCGCTGCTACGCAAACCTGATCCCAAAAAGTGAATTTAAATCAAGAAATCTGCCCAAATATGAGAGTAAATGTATCATGATCAAACTATTTAGAAAGGCAATCTGACCAATCATTAAATAGAAAAATATCATTTCCACTTATGAATACGGGCGATTCACAATAGTGCGCCACCAAGAGTTTACAACGCGTTGGCCAATCACAAAGTGCGAAATTTGTTGACCCTTTCTAACCGCTCAGTGAGTCGACAGATTTCGCACATTGTGATTGGCCAATGCGTTGCAAACTCCTGGTGGCACACTATTGTGAAATGCCCATATTGGATGGAAGAATTATGGGAAGAGTTCCATATACCAACATCGCTCATTTCTGCCTGCAATGGAACATGGTAATCAGTCAACAGGAAACAAAACTGTCTTAGAAATTCAAATTTAGCAGGGAAAATATTGAAGCGTCAAGTGCTTGGAATTTCCTGGCCCAGCCTGGTATGGTTTGTAAGGTACACAGGGTGTCAAGTGATGTCTGTGTATAGAACTCTTTCCCACTTAAATACAAACACACATAGTCTTGCTCCATCATAGGGAGGCAGGGGCGTAAATCTGTGAGGTGGGGGGGATGCCGTCAAACTTCATGAGTAAGACAGATTTCAAATTACCTTGTATATGGTACAAATAGGAACCTTACATTGTCTTATCAGGAATGGAAACAAGGAACAAAGAGATCGGGCCCTCATAGTGTCTTCTTTGTTACAAGCAGAATGTTGGATTTTTGTCTTTAATTAATTAACAGGGTTCAAATTTAAACCCTCTGGCACTTTTTGATCAAGGGAGGGGCTGTTATTGGATCATCCCCTGCTCACAATTTTTTGGCAGTGTCAAAAATGCGGATTCTGAGGTACTCAAATTTGTCCAACTCCCCAACAGCCAAAATGTATTCAGTAGCACTAAAAAGGCAAATGGCAGTTTTGATGTAAGATTAATGGATGCAGGGTGTACATTGACTGCATCATGAACAGCGCCCCCTAGTGTTCCATAGTGTCCATGAGTATCCCCCCACCTGCTTAATTCCTATTGCTCAATCCCAAACACAGATAACATACATACGCACAGACACCCAGATCACATTCCAAAGTACACTGTACATTGGCATTTGGTGATCAGTGTGGCACCCGACTAAAATCAAAACTATATGGACAAATTCATCAACCCTAGGTACAGGGAATTTAAGCACAGTTGAAGAATTCCAGCCAGAAAATTGTCTGAAGTCATTTTTTGATAGCAAAAGAAGTGCGGCCGGCATGTATATAGAGTCAAAACAACGCGGTTGCAACCTTGAAAAGAACAGATAATGCCAAAGAGCCAAAAAAAGTGAACGTATTTTGGAAACACGTCAACAAATAAAGGCACTATTTGCATTGCAGGTCGTGTATTGAGCACGCTACCATCCTTCGTTTTGCCCATTGTTTGCC